TGCTGCCTCCAGACCGAAGGGGTTGAGGTGCTCCAGTTAATTAGCTCTTGTTATTTAATATCACAATCACTGAAGTCTCTCGGGCTTCGCTGCGTTAGGATGTCGTGCGTTGTTGCGGGCGCTGGGCGCGGAGCCGTGGCGGAGCGGTGCCGGCTGCCGTGTGTCGCTGCGCTGTGCGAGGCGGTGCTCGGGCGTGCAAACGCGATGTTCGATGCTCCCTCGGCTGCTGCTCCATCCCTGCGCTGCAGCTGTACCTCGGGTGGCGACCCCCGTGTCAGCAAGGGCTGGATCAGACTGCCTGAAGGGACCTAGTGTTGAAAACAAGGGAAGTTCAGCACTCTGTACTCATATAATTTTAATGCTGTGAAACAGTGGCTATTTTCAGTTATGTTTCTTAACGCGGTCTTTCAACATAGTGTTCGTTGAAGGAGTTGGACTGGATGAGGGTTTTCTCCAGCTCAGGATATTCAATGATTCATTAAAATACTAGCAAATCTTAGGCCGAGTGCTCCATGTTGCCCTGTAGTCAATTTGGGTATTTAGTAAAACTTCTTGGAGAAGGCAGCTTTGCTGGAGCTCAGGTAAGATTTTGCTGTTCTCTTCAAGTTACGGACAGTGTCTACTGGTCATACTCTACGAGCAATTTTGCAACATTACTAATACAGGAGCAATAGATTTGTCAGGTTATGTTAAGCTCCATATGTGGCTGATACACTGTTGTTTTCTGGTGCTGAATGAGAGAGGCTGGTGCTTTTGACTGAAAGTATTCCACATCCTCACAACGGAGAAGGATGCAACGTGATTGGCCTGGTGGCTGGTTTTGAAAACCCAGGACTGTGTCTTTGCTCCTTTTTCTGTTAAGAGTAAAGATAATAGCTTTCGCACGGGATCTTAACTCATCCCTGATGTCTGGAAATAGCTAGGAACATGAGACAAAGGTTTGTAGAGCAAGCTGCACTTTGCTGCAGTTTGTTTTTTCAGTTGCTTGTTGCGACTGCCGGACTAAGGGACTCTTCTGTAAGTGAGTGTAGACTGGAAGAGACCTCTGTTTTCCAGTTCCTTTTGTTGTAACGTAGCATGCTTTAAATAATCCTATTAATGAATTTGTTACTCTTTCTTGAAAGCTGTTATGGTTGTGCTTCCTTTGGAAAGACTACTTTGAAGCACTAGTCCTTGGGTAGATGGAAAACACGTGAAAAATGCTCAGGCTTCAGCAATCCTCATCCTGTTTCACTACAGATTGTAATTAAATCAATAGGCAATTGGGAGTTGGCTTGTTGCACCAGAAAGGTCACAAGAACATTCACATTCACCTGATCTTGTTTAGAGCTTGTTGGTTTATTCCCATAATCCTCCAGGAAAAGCAATCAAGATTCCTTTCCCAAATGGGATGGCAGTTGTGGGTTCGTCATGTGTTTAGCCGGCATCATAGGGTAGACCAAAATCGTAGAGGTGAAGCAATTAAGGTTTTAAAGTGACTTTTAAGGTAGGGAGGAAACTGAGCTCAATTAGGTTAATTTTAAGGGCATTGCCTTTCCCCCCCTAGAAGTGCTGGGGGATTTGGTGTAGGGATTGTGAGACTTGGCTCATTTCAGAAAGCTTGATGATACTACTGAGGATTTAGGAACAAAGGAGGATAAAAATAGGCTGTGCTTAACATCAGTTACCTTTACTCCTCTCATCAAAGTAATTGCCTTGGATACAAAGTTCAAAATTTCTGTCATACAGAGAGAAAGGTCTGATCTTGTAATTCCAGTTAGGCAACAAAATGATGTTTGGGTGTTAAAGCAAGTGCAACTGTCCTTTAGAACAGGGACCAAAGCCTCTAATGCTGAGAATTTGAAAAGTAGGATAGTGTGGGCTATGGATTACAGTTTTTGGACTTCAAAATTCTCTCTTTGGTTTGTTAATACAATAAATTTTCGTTCCTTATTTGCTACAGGGCACTCATATTTCCTCTTCTGATCCGTGAAGGAAAACCAACACCATTTGTCACTTTTGTGTTAGCACTTCTGTTCTGCATTTTCAATGGATACTTGCAGGGCCGAAGCTTAAGCAACTATGCAACTTACCCTCCGGGCTGGTTGAGAGATCCACGCTTCATTACAGGTGAGTCAAATAATGTTACGAAAACTTAAGGTGTAATTTTCCTTTGTCTTCACAGCTTTTAATTGTAATTTTATTGTATCTTCAATGCCATTTTGTAAGTATTCTCATAGGTATTTCTCTTATTGGTGTATCTGGAAGCCTTTAACTTTTTTTTACTTTAGAACTGTGAACTGACATTTCTTTCCACAATATCAGTGCTGGGTGAGCTGACTGTCATCTTTACTCTTTAACACCAAAATAAATATTGTTATGTATTTTTTTCAATGTAGAAACTTGAAGCCTCACATGGAACCAGCAGCATGCATGTTTAGAACAAACAAAGTAGTTTTTCTATGTAACATGTAGATCAAACTGGAGTAAAAATCTAGTGAGGGTGATTGCTAACTACTGAGATACCACTGCTAATGCCAGAAGATCTTGATATCAGGATGTTTACAAGTGATACACACACACACACGCATCAGCACGCCCGCCCTTGTAATAAGGGTGAGCTTTGTCAAAGGATGAAACTGGCCTACAAGGAACCGGATGGAGGGATTGATCATTCACTCCCGATCTGGAAGGGAGGTTACATTTATTTATAGTTGAAGTCATGGATATGATGAAAAGGCTAAGATGCCTAGTGACAAAATACTGTCACCGTATTTTTTTGTTTCCTAAGCATCTACTTTTGTTGACCATCAAAATCATAGTATCATTTTCTAATGAAATCTTTACCGAAAGATCTCTTTCATCTGAAGATAAATCAGAATATTTTGCCTCATCAGTCAAAGGTGGAGAACTGGGCTGTGTAGATCCTTGATCTGAAGAAGTACCCTTCTTGTTTGTATTCTGTAGCCAGAGCAAGTTAGTGTTTCTCCAGGATTTCTCAAGCCTTTTATAACAAGAAAAAGAAGGTTTTGTCCTTATTACAGTGTTATTGTGGATAACAGTGGAGGACCACTGTGCTAAATGCTATCATGACTATAAGATTGAAGAAACTTAAATCAAAGGAGATTCTCTTGCCAAGATTAGGAGGCAGTACTGCTTGTGCAATAAAACTTGAGAAATTGAGGTGCAAGGGAATGACTTCAGTGGGTGCTAGGCACTTGGATATACTTGAAATTTTCTTGGTAGTTTCAAATTTCCAGTCTCCTTAAACTGGGATCCAGCAAAAAAATTGGTTAAAAGATCTGTTCATCAAAACTGTTGAAGGCTCTGATGCCTAGTTTAGTACATTAATCAAAAGATATCTCAATACAGTGCTGTGAACAAATTATGATTAAGAAGCCATAAATCAATTGTTCTTTACTGAAAGATCTTTTAAAAAAAATCAAGTTAATAAGACTCTTATTCATATTTCCTTGGTTTATTTTTTTTGAGTTTATCGAGGATTTCTGAAAGATGCATATGTATAAATTATAATAGTTAGCTTCCTCTGACTTCAGTTATGAATACTTCGGTGTGTGAGTTAGTTTGATTTGTATTTGTGGGGTTTTTATTATGGTTTTATTTTGATTGTTTGCTTTTTGTGCAGGTAATACCAGTCTGGAATATATGCTTATATATATTTCCAGTACTGCTAAACATAAATGAAGTGTTGCTTTTGTGATTATTATAATTCAAACTATTGCTTTAAAAAGCAATCCTAACCCTAAGTTTTCCTAAAAACTAAGAAAGCCAAGATTCCTGGTACACATAGCAACCATTTTCATGGTATGACTACTGCTGATTTTTTTGAGAGTGTTAGTACAACAAATCTTTATATAAAATTTGGCTGTGAAAGAGCCAAACTGCAGACTTGTTTTTTATTTTATTCCTGTAACTAGAGTACCTTTTGGGATTTTTTTTTTAATGTTGTTTTGTAGTACACATCAACATAATTGGATCTTAGCAATTTATAATTGCTATTTGGTATTCATCCCAGCTGGGTACCTCCAAATATCTGCAGTTTATGCTTGTGGCTTTGGTCAACTCAAATGCCAAAGTGGCTGTACTCCCTGAACAACTGGACTATTATGTTCTAGTTTTTCCAAAACATCTGGCAGTGTCTTTAAGCCTCCGTTTAAAATTACTAGAAAAAGTTACTAGAATATTAGCAAACAACAACAGCAAGAAAGCATATTTGCTGAGGGCTAGCAAGATGTTTCTTAAGCTGTATGGAGTTACATGTGGAAGATAAATGAGAGAGTGTCTAAAAGTAGCAGCCAGCCATGGTTCAACAGCCAGAAGCTGAAATGAGATAAATTTGCAGCGAAGACAGAAATTTGGAAAAGTCAGGCTGATTAACCGTCATGGCAAGAGGTTTCAAACAACTGCTGTGTTCTGTCTGGAGCCTTATTACAGTTTGATTGTTTTCAGGCATTTAGGAGTTAACTCTGGAAATGCAATAGCTTATATCTACACCAGCAGTTGATTTAGATCAGGAACGTAACTTTGATGTGATTCCCTCATGGTTTCTCTGGACTGTGTGTTGGTTTGGTTCAGAGCAGTGAACACAGCTGTTTTCAGAGGAAATGGGAATGTTCTGCCTCAAATGCAGCACCATGAGTTTGCAAACCTATGTGGGAACAACTTCATAATCTTTCAGCATGTACCTTACACGTGTGCCAACAAACAGCTTGTGAACTTACCAAGAGAGCCCGTGATACCCTGAAGCAGTGAATGCTGCAAAAAGGGACACATACACCTGTGTGCTTCACCCTGGTGTTCTTTCCTAATCTGTCTGTGCTTCTAGTTGGAAACTCCTTCCTTCCTTTGCTTGCTTTAGGTTCTTCAAACTCTTCGCAATATACCATGTGTCTTTTCTTACTCCTTTAAACCCCATTCAGCTACCTACTTCGAATGTTGGTGGCTACCCCTTCTGTGCATCAAAAACTTTCCGCAGTAGCAGTTCTACAAAGCAGAGCAGCACCTGTAACTCAGAAGGTTCAGGTGACTGAACCTCATCTGTTGCATGAAGCTTTTTGTCTGACAGTCAGGCAACCAAGCACATGTGCCACCTCTGCTCTTTTCACAGAACAGACATGAAGAGCGCATGTGCATTGTCCATATCTGCATATGATCACGAGCGCGTGCGCGTTGTCCATATCTGGGTATGATCACGTAGTCAAGGGATGTCTAGATATCATCTCATAGCCTGGGGATGTAGATTAGCCTGTGTCTCTCCTAGTATCTACAGACATCTGTATATTATAGATTATCATGTGCATTGTTGGAAAGTAACCACAGAGTCTGAGATGAGGCACTGGTTCACCTGAAATGTTTATTTGATGTTCTCAGTGCAGCTGTAGAAACTGGCCTCCTGATGTGCCTGCACAGCATCTTCCACTGCATATTCTTGAAACTTGGAGAGGGAAGGTGAGCCAGATAGCAGCTACCCTCCTGTCACTCTGGAATAGCCTGCAGCACAACAGTAGGTCTTTTTGTGTGAAATTCTACGTGGGCAAGCACACAATGCTCTTCTGTTGCACCAGGTTGTCTGCTAGTGTAGACCTAGTTACTGTCCTCCTTACGCAAGTGTTCACCTAGTACGTGCACAAGCCTTCATCTCCAGGTTTATCCTGATGAAGGAAAAAGCCTCTTAATTGTCTCTTGAGGTCATGCGTGTTGTGTGGTGTATCCTGTGGATCTGAAAATCTGATGTAATATGCAGTGGCTCCCTTCCTGTTTACGTGTCCATGTTTCCCTGTGCTGGTAGCCAAGTCATGCGAATTGTGGGGCAGAACCAGCTCTTGGTTTTGTAGAGTCCTAGGACTCTGCTGTGCTGGGAATCTGAGGATTAGGACAGGGGAGGAGCGCCAAGCCTGACAGCTCAAGAAACATTTGGACAGTACTCTCAGGCACATGGGGATGGTCCTGTGCAGGGCTGAGATTTGAGCCTGATGATCCTTGTGGGTCCCTTCCAACTTGACATGTTCAGTGATTGCCCACAGAGTATGGGTGCAGGGAACATGGTTATGCAGTGCCTTAGAGGAAAGGGGGTCTTGAAATTGAAGAGGTGTTTTGTGAAAATAGCCTACATTTGTTGGTTTGTTGTCCACAAAGAGATGTGATTGTTTCCTTCTGCCATTTTGCAGTTTTCAAGTCAGAGAGGTAAAAATGTGCAGGATCAAACTCATCTTCTGTAGTAATTTGACATTTCTAAAGCAAGCTCCGGCCTTTCTACATTGTCGGAAGAGTTCATATACTAATTTACAAGCAGATGCACAGGAAACATTCACTAAAATTATAGTATATCTAATATATAATAAATCATAGTATTGTAGATATATAGTATAAACTATAGTATATCTAATAATAAAATATAGTATATCTAATCTGTCATGATGTATTTACATTGATTATATAGTTGATAAGTAAAATTTTATTTCAAAAGGCACTTTACGTATAGCATCTGCACACCTTGATTGCTAATAGAAACTTGCTGTGCTGTATAAAGAAAAGGTTAACAAACATGCTTATTCACAGGACTAAATTCTGCTATTAGTTTTACAGTGTAAGCAGATAGTAACAAGTTAATCAAACAACTTTTTTTATTTGTATGGGCAAATAATGGAGAGAGCTTTCACGCAGACACCTCAGTTTTTTTACAGAGCAGTCATTTCCTCCCAATACATGTGGAAGCAGACAGCTAGGCCCTTTAAGCTCACAAGGGCTTGAGAGAAGAAAACTGCCTAACAGCTTGTAAGTGGACCTTGCTTCTCAGACATCTGTAGCTTCACTGGGAAAGGTAGCTTAAGTCTTGGTGGAGTGTGCTCTGACAATCTACCAGTCTTGCAATGTGGCCTTATACACTTGGACATACAGTTAGTGCTTTTGCTGAGATGATCACGCTCCTGAATTTCTCTATATTGAAAAAGAGCCACCTGAAAGACTGAAGTTGTGGGTGCAAAAAGGCAAAGGTTTCTTTATCTGGCACGTGAAGTGACTTTGTCCTAGAAAATACTGACGTATTCTTGGTAATTTAAGTAAAACTGGTAACTTTGGAGGTGGCTTTAAAACAACACTGAATCTATCTTCAAACCCCAAATCTGCTCCTAGTAGCAAGGAAGGCTACCTTCAAAGGAAGATACCATAGATAACATATTGCCAAAGGGTGAAAATAAGGAATTTCAATCCTAAATTCCTTTTGATTTATCCCATAGTTATGGCAACAAGGCATAAGGATGCCGAATGTGACAACAGTCTCAGTTTCTATGAAAGCCTGCTGTAAATGGCTAAACCATTTTGCTGAATGACACAAGTAAATGGTACATTAACTCCTTCATGATTTTATTCCTTTTGTTTCACAAAATTCTGTTGCAGAAATTCTGGTATGTTATCAGCAAAAATAGAAAAGGAGAGTGGGGCTAAAATGTGTCCCTTTGGGAAGAATGAGAATGGCTGTTTCTTTCAGTGTTTAAAGTGTTAGCGTATTTGTTTTTCTATGTGGAAGTTAGAGAATTACACGCATTACATCTGCATATGTGCCTGTGCATACATTTATATAAGTCTAGAAACATAAGAATAAGCTTCATACTTGTGGTACTATTTCCTGTCAAGGGAGCTCTCGATTACTGTGAGCTCTGCTGACTGAAAAGCTCAGTCTGTCACCAGAGTTGTTTATACTGCTTACATTACTACTGCTTTAAGCTGATATGCCTAACATGTGATACATGTCTAGTTTTTTTGAAAGGGTGCTTTCACTCAGTGTACTAAAGATATACTTTTAATATTTCTTTTCAGGTTTTATAGGGTGGTTGCTTGGCATGGCAATTAATATTCATTCTGATCATATTCTCAGAAATCTGAGAAAACCGGGGGAAACTGGTTACAAGATACCAAGAGGTAAGTAAAAAATGGTACAGAGATTAAAATGGCAAAAGTAGTATCTCTCATATGAGAAGTGGTAAAGAAAGCTGGGACTGAAGAAGAGGCTCATTTTATTTTTTTCCTCTTAAGCCAAATATTGTATGGAGTCTGTTTCATGATATCACATGGCCTGTGCAACTCTTTGGACTTCTTAAACCAACTTTGGCTGTATTTTTAAAAAGGGGTATAAATGTCACAGCATTCCACAACTTTTCTGAGAATCAGCAGGAGGATGGAGAAAGAAGACCTAAATTATCAACCCAGTGTTGAGGCAGGAGGGGAATGCAGAAAGTACTCAATGGCTGACCCATCTAACGTCCCATGTGTGAAGAGAGAGGTACCTTAGGTAATCAGAGAGCAGCAACTACTGTGGAAAGGGAGACACAGTAAAAGGAGGACAGAAATCCAAACAAAGTAGGGCACTATGAATTCTGGCCTTCATGGGAAACTGGAGAATATGAAAGATTTTTCTTATGGAGCCTATTGAAGTGTTAAAGTTTATTGATGCTTTTGGAAACATTAGACTCTTTCAGATACATTACAGTCACTGAAAGAAGAAAAATAATACTATCTCTGAATTTTGTTTCTCTGGTTTTTTTTGTTAGTTGTTGCTTTTTCTTGGTTGTTAAGGTTTTTTTAAATATGACTGGAAGAATTAAGATATATAAGGCAGTAGACTGTTTTTCACTCAGAAGATAACTTATAATTTTAATAGATGTAAATCCAAGTGCTCATGTAAAAAATGAATATGAACATACTGTACTGTGTTCAGTGCACAAAAAAGTTCTGAAGTAAATAAGATGTCATTTGCTGTGAGATCAGGGGGAGCTGGTCTTTTTGATGTTGCTTATCCAGTTTAAGTGCTAAAAATTCACCTCTCTTTTGTTAAGAGGGTAGAGCAATTAAAGCAAGGTCAAAACATGTTATTTATTACAGTTGCCAAATACTTGTTTGTTTAGTTCCACTGGTAAAACGCATACTGAGATGTTATCGATTTCTATGCTGACTTTGGAATTGGGGTGAAAGTTCTTATTTTATAAATTCCTGACATGTGAGTACCAATTGTTTATCCATAATTGTCTGTACAACAGATTTAATGCAGACTGCCAGTTACTTTTTTCACTGAGTATCAGGGCTGAAGCAGTAGACCTCATGAGGAATGGGAACAAAAGGGCAACACATTTTAAGCTAGAGAATAAATTTGGGACATTACTTCATAATAATATTAATATTGTTCATAATTAAGTTAATTTCTGAAGTACTTAAAGAAATGAAACATTGTAGGCTAACTAACCCTGTGAGTATTTTCTGAGACTCAAGGGGAGCATGTCCTCTATATTTACATATTAAAAAAAAGGTTTACGATCAAAGAGACAGTTTGATGTCACTGTTAAGTAACTATTTACAAAGGCACGTACTTGCTTCTGATACTAGTAAATCTGCTTTTCTTTCATTATTTAAAGAGGAAAAATGGACCTGGAGAAGGTCTGTCCTAGAAAGAGGCCTGAAGTGATCCTTCATAGCACAGCTTGAACTGAAAAACACTGCTTCCACTGCCTTTAAAATTATATAGAGACATTGGTGATGTAGCTCTTATTTGATGTACAGTAAAAGATAGCACTGGACATATTGATTAAGGTGCTTTTGAAATAACTCTGTCCTGCTTTCAGGAGGAATGTTTGAGTATGTCAGTGGAGCCAACTTTTTTGGAGAGATCCTGGAGTGGTTTGGCTTTGCCCTTGCCTGTGGCACCACTGAAAGCCTTGCATTTGCATTGTGTACTCTTTTCATCTTGGGTTCAAGGGCAAGGCAACACCATCAGTAAGTGGTTTTTGTCTTATAATTTCTGTTGTCTCTACCACACTGCATTTACATTTCACAAATTATGTCTCATCCCATAGCAATGTTGCAGAGCAAGTCTTGGGAAAGAGACTGCTGCTGTAGGGGAGAATATGATAGAGAATACTCTTGAGAAGAATAAGCACTGCAGAATTTCAGCAGAATAGTACTGAGCATAAACACACATGATGTACAATGAGGTGGTCAAAATAATGTTTAAATGAAGGTAGTTCATCCTGAATCTGTAAAAATTATGGACAAGTTTGGTAGTATTGTCTTAAATAATCACATACTCTATTTTCCCTTGCTGCTTGAACTGGTTTCTACAATATTAAAATTTTGAAAATCACTCTAAAGTAGCCTTTAGTAGGCACGCTTTATAGCCAAGTCTCTATCATATTGTCTATGATCAAGTGAATGGACAATAAGAAAACAGTTCTAGTACATAATAGTAAAGTCTCTGCTCTAAACAGTCTGACTACTAATGTACTGTATTCATAATGTAGCTTTCTTGTTAAAGGACCATAGTTTGTGGAGAGTAGTCTCTTGATTCTCTTTAAGGAATAGCATGTTTAAAGGAATTTGAACATGTTAATCTTATTTTGGTTATTCTCAGCTTCCTGCTTTGGTTCTCATGCTGAAACTTAGTGGCATAACAGGAAACAAGCCTGAATATATGGAGAGAAATAGGTTGAAAAAAATGCCATTGCTGACTGTCTGTGGGGGCAGCCATGGGTACGTCTAGTGGAGTCCTGAAAATTTCCACAAACAGGTTTTCCTGCACCTTGTCTGTAGGGTGTTCTAGGTCTGTATTACCCTCCCAATTAACAAAGTTTTTTGTACTGTCCAACCTGAACCTTCCTGACCTGTCACCTGTTGACCATCTTTTCTTACTTTATCACCTGCTATTAGTGAGTAGAGTTGCAGAGTATCTTGGGTTAGGAGGAGTATCTGAAGGTTGTCCAGTCAGCTGGTGTGACCTACAACTGCCCTTTTGCCCAGGGCCTCATCCAGTTGAGTTCTGAGTGTCTTCAAGGGTGGAGGCTTCAGCACATCTCTGGCAAAGTGCTGAAACAGGATTTTCCTTATTCTCATGGGGAATAGGGTTCTTCCTTATGACCAGTTGGAATATTCCATGTTGCAACCTTTATCTCCTGGTGTGTGCCTCCAGGAAAGGTATGGCTTTGCCTTCTCTTTAATATCACAATAGGTGATGGAAGAATGCAATTAGATGTGCCTCTTTGCTTCTTTTCTAGGCTGAACAAACCTAGTAATGCTCTTAATGTCTCCTCTTATATGTTCCAGCTATGAGTTGTCTTACTGACCATCTGCTGGATTTTTCTCCACTTTGTGGATATTGTTGTTGCACAGGAAGCCAACAACTGGAGGCAGTAATGCAGATGCATGCTCTCAGCTGCTAAATGGTGCACAGAATAAGCCCTTCCTTTGACTTAGTGGCTCTGTACTTGTTAAGGCAGGCCAATGTGCACTTGGCCTTCATCATTGCAGGGATGCATTATTGACTCATCCTTCTCTTGTCACCAGGATGTCCATGTCCCTTTGTGCACAACTGCTATCTAGCCAGGCAGTCTCCACCCTGCACTTTTGCTTGGGGCCACTGCATTCCAGCTGCAAGAGTTGGCATTTCAGTTATAACTTTGCTCCGTTGTCTTAATTCCCCTTCCATGACCTGTAGGCAGCACCTGTAGGTAGCAGTAACAGGGCCCCTTAGTCTCCTCCTTGCCAGGCTAAGCAATGCCAGGTTCCTCAGTGTGTCTTTATATATTATGCTCTTCAGGTTCAAATTCCATTTTTCGTTTCCATCAATCCTAAACCTTGGTGGCACTCTTTCAGACCATTAGGAAAACCTAAATGTTGTTAAAGGAAGTAATTTGCACTAATGGAAAGGTGCGTAAAAACAAAAGAGGGATACAAGAAGAAAACCCAAAACAAATAAAAATAACAAATCCATGTAAGTGAAGAAATGTTTTAGTGCAGTCCGTTTAGTTTAAGAAACTTAGAATAAATTACTGAAACGGGAAAATAGTGTAATGATGATATTCCACAGCTGCAGGTTATTGTGCATTGCATGTTTTGTCCTCTGCTTATTCCAGCTTTGATCTTGGAATTAGCTATTGATAATATGCATATCTGCACCTTTGAGAAGCCGGGTGAAGTTAATTCTTTTATTTCAGAGGAGCGGAAGAATAAGTATTTGAAAATGGGAGTAAATGTGTTTGTTATCCAAGGCGAAAAGACAAATAATAACATTTAATAGTGCTACGTATTTCTTCTTTGTTAATTGTCTGGATTTGAAAATACTGATGTCTTTGAAAGGTATTAGCAGTAAGGCTGGTGTAATGTTTGTCATGTTCTGTTTGATTATCCAAATCCTTTGGAACTGAAGATGTTTCTATGCAGAGTCATTACTATGTGAAGTAACCCGTGCTTCTGTGTGAAGTCATTAGGCAATTACATGGTTTTAGTTTAATTTCTTCCCCCTCTAGTTCTGAAATGCAAATACTCAGGATGCATAACAACATACATTTTCAAAGAACAGGTTATTCCTTCCCTGACTGCTCTCACCACATCTGTAGGTTTGATTTCCCATTGCTGGCAGAACAACTTAGTTTTTTTGGAGTTGATGATTAGATGTTGTTAGGATGAGTGTAGTAAATGCCATTTTTCTATCCAGAGTAGTTCTAAAGGCATATTTTTTGTTTGTAGACAGAAAATATATGGATTAAATTGAACACATTGTACAATCACTTAATGTCCTCAACAGCATTTGGAAGACTCTATACTCATCAGATTTCTGTCTTTGTTTTACAGATGGTACCTTGAGAAATTTGAAGACTACCCAAAGGACAGAAAAATTGTGATACCATTTTTGTACTGAGCTGTGCTTTTAACACTGTCTGAGATGGATGCTTTTAGTAACAGCTAACATTTTACAGGTGGTGGCAAGTTAAAAACATACTCTCATCCTCACTGTGACAAAGCCTTTCCATCGATGCTGCTATTACTTACTTCTTTTTCCTCTTAATGGTAACCAAGAATCTGATGGACATGGTGAATAGGAACAGAAATGCTTTTCCAGCAGTGAAGCACCTTCATGAACACCTTAGGCAGTGAGTCTGACTGCCTGTGCAGGCTTCTGCTGTTTCCACTCAATCTAGTCACGCTGTCATGAGGATTGTGCTGTGAGCCCAGTCACTCTCACTGCAGTCTGGATGGTGTGTTCTGCCTATTGTTTGCCAGCATATGCAAATAGGGTTGATTTTACTTTTTCTTCCTTGCCTTTCTAATCCTTTCTTCCCTCCACCTGCATTTTCAGGAGATCTGATGATGCAGACCAAGGAATTAAATGAATATAGTTGCTGTTAGGTGAGAGGCAATGTTCCTCCTCTTTGCACTCTTTCATATGGATATTGTATAGATAATTCTATACAGGATACTGTGTAGATAATATTTAATACTATTTACATAAAAGTTGTAGGGTTATCTTCCCCAAATAATAGATTAATATTGTCATCTACCTCTTAAAATTGATAGCTCTCTCAATATGCAATATGTCTTCTCATTCTAAACTGTTTTTGGAAGGCATTCTTTACTTAGGATACTTAGGCCAGTCTAGCACTATTAAAAAATGTGTAATATTTTCTAACTCACTTTATAAAAAAACCTTGAGATTTTTACAAAATTTTCTTATTATGTTGTTTTAAAAAATCAAGTGTTTTTCTTCTTCTGTGGATAACATTCTAGAAAATTTTATATTCTGGAATATTTTGTGTTGCATGTCATGTTAATGTCAGTGCTCATACTCCAACATTTTACTCATTAAGGACTTCAGAATGCTTTTAAGAACATGATGCAATTCCAAGCATACAGACTTCCAAGTTTCAGGCACATCTGTGTGCTTTGCATGATTGTGATAATAAAGAATTTTTTAGAATTCTTAAGAAAAAAACCTCAACAGAAACTAATTTAAAAAAAAAATCCAACAAAAAAGAAAACAAAATAACAACCAAATTATAGCAATTAAAAAAAACCACCCAAAAAACCCTAACAAAACAAACAGATGAACAACACAGGAAAAAAAACTTCCACAAAATCAAAAAATTCTACTGCTAATGTAATGTGGAAATAAATGAAAATCAGACTTTTGACATGTGTCTTCTGATCTCTTTGCTCTTTATGTTGGATTATGTTCTTCAAAGCAAGTTGGTAATAGAATTTTGCCAGATACTGCAATACCATACTGGAAAACTCAGTAAGATTTGTCTAAAGCTCAAAATTCTTTCTTTGCTGTTGAATTACACTGCTGTAGTAATCAAGGTAATGTATCGGATGAAATTTACCTTTAAAATTTTAGAGATTAGTTTTCTAACTTACCTAGAGCTGAGCCCTCGGACTGCCAGTTGCTCCTTGTAATGTTGACTGGGAGGATGATTGTCCTGCTCTCAGCCAGTATGCAAAAAGTCCATCTTTGGGAGAACACAGGAATACCTTGGTGTCAGTGTCATTGCTTGATTCTCAAATTGTTTAATAATTCCTTTAGTGTTTACATGTTTCTTCAGTGTTTTACAGGAAGTTTGAGGCTTTCCCTGTTGTTTTTGTTATCACACTATAATTTAGCACTTTGATCATAGATGTTTTGATGAACACTCAGTCATGATGTTCCCTGGACAGAGAAAGGATAGTGAGGAGGATGATTTACTCCTCAATGCTAAAATGGAGTTAGGGGACAATAAAAATTCAATAGGATCACTTAAAGCATATTCTTAAGAGAATTTTAGAAACCTAGTCATATATCAACATATTTCTAAACACTGTCACATCGCTGTAGCAGTTTTTTTAAATTTTGCTGTGTAAATCATCTAGCTATCAAAATCTATTTTAGTTGAAAAAAAGACAAAGAGCATTATCTACTCAAAGTGTTTAATTACTTCCATAGTTTATAGTGAATTAGTATCTTGTACCTTCAGGGATATTTGTTAAAAAACCACTAATGAGACAACCAACCATCACTAATGGACAACTAACCAACCTCAAACAATCTGGCTGCAGCACTTTAGTCTCTAATATATTTATTTTTTTTTCCTTTTATGAAAAGGCAAAGCTTCTTTTAGTTGTAAACAGCAAGAGAAAGGTCTCCGTGTTCAGTATGTCTCCTCCTAATTAAACTCTCTAGCTCTCTATGGTCAGTAGTCTTATCATAGTTCACAGAAAATTTGTACTGATGCCTCAGTTTTGTTCTGCTGCTATGCTGCTAAATACTTCTCTTGGCTAAAAGTTCAGCTCCTTTGCTCACATAATGTTAATTTATGATTTGCCTTTAGTGGGACGGGGTTCTGAAATGTGATGGTCAGACAGCTTATCCTTGTTCCCTCTCTTCTTACAGAAAAGGAAAAGCTAAGGTCTATGGGATATGAATGTCAGTGTGTTTAGAAATTCTAGCCAATTGGATTAACAACAACAAAATCAAACCAGAATGCTTCATTCTTTGTGTGATTATATTTATTATTATCACCATACTTCTAGAACCTTCCATAAGTAAAGTGCAGATTTTATTTGAGGCAGTTTATTAGAGCACAATCTTAGAGGAGCAACTGAGGAAGCTGGTGTTGTTTAACCTGGAGAAAAGGAGGTTAGGGGGAATCTTAATGCTCTCTGCAACTATGTGAAAGGAGGTTGTAGCAAGGTGGGGATGTTGGGATCTTCTCCCAGATAACAAGTAACAGAATGAGATGAAATAGTCTCATATTGTGCTGGGGAGGTTTAGATTGGATATTAGGAAAAATTTCTTCATTCAAATGGAAGCATTGGAACGGGCTATTCAGGGAAGTGGTGGAGCCACTGTCTCTGGAGATATTTAAAATATATGCAGTTGTGGCAATTTAGGGATATGATTTAGTAGTGGACTTGGCAGTGCTGGGTTAGAGGCTGGACTGAGTGATCTTAGGGTTCTTTTCAACCAAAATGACTCTGTGATTCTTGCATTTCAAGACCCAGGTACATTGGCAAATGATCAACTTGGTCAAATGCTAGAACTGCCTTTTGTTTAAACAATATCCCACTTATTTGTCATACTTCACTTGTGATCCCTTCCCTTTTTAGCAGCTTTGACAGAATTTTTCTGTTGGAAAATATCTAATACTGAAAAATTTTTCTTAAGAATATGTAGTGTGAAAATAAACTCTGTTCAGCCCATTCCAGAGGGAGAAAACACGCATGCTTGCTATTGGGTTATAATATCTGTAGTGACTTTTTTATTTTTTTTTTTTGTAGAGATACTTCTAGTCAGATTGCCTACATCTTTCCCTAAAATTCCCTACTAATAAAATATGATTTGTGGTGTCTTGCTTGAATACTATTTTTTTTTTCTTGTTAGTAATCCTTGCTTTAACTTGTGGAGGTTGATCAAGGCTTTTGTACCAGCAGTTTCACTATCCCAGTTGAGATCTTGGGGACTGTAATAATAAGGTTGGATTAGAATTCCCTAGATGCGTATGTGAACTATACAAGACGCACTCAAAGCAATTATTAAACGTTACAAAATAAATTTGTCTAGTCATACATTCATTATTATCTAAAGGAGAGTATGTAGCTGACATGTTCTACACTTGAAGTTAGAGCAAAGATTAAGAGAAGCAGAGGATACTTGTTTGGGTTCTTCTCCTGCTTCTAGGTCACTCTTAAAAGAGCTGTAGCACCTGCTTTTTAACTATTTAATTGTGGTTCAGCACAATATTATCTTTCTGTGGAGTGAAGATAATGTATGCATGATTTGTCCATATAAACTTGTATTCTACCACTGGTCACAAAATCCCGAGTGCCTACCACAGAGTTTTTATAGCCTGTTTGTGAAACAGCTCTAATAGGCACCTGTTTGTGATTGAAATATATTAGTAATTTTGGTATAAGACTGTCCTAGCCTGTTCTATGCTATTAAGTTTTACCAATAATAGTTGCAGTTGTTGGGGAAGCCTTTCAGATGTACATCAGTCTTATGAAGACAGCAGACTGCTGGGTAAAATTGCACCACTTTTTGCAGTGATGCAACATTTATCATCATCCCTGTGCCCCTGCAAAAATTGTGGAAATTAGTGTTGCAAGACAACTAAGGGGTAAAGCCTAAAACAAGGTTTGCATCTGAGAGAGTTGCACAACTGAAGGTTGCTCTTATACTCCTTAAAATAACATGTTTGTACATCCCTTGCTTTGTTTACCATGTTTGCTTAAAACTCAAAGCTGATACATGATGCTTTGTTGTGTACAAGTGGATAGTGGAAGCAGTAGGTTATTTGTTTGCAGAGTTGAAGGAAAACCTATGTAACAATTGATACAACATTTGGTGTAATGTTTCTCTGAAGATGATGCATTACCAACGTGCTAGCAAGAGCTTCTCAGTGGTGTTGTTTGTCCCTACTCCCTAATATTTGCAGCCTCTTGTTTTGGAAATACCTGTCCAGTTTCTGAGAGAATACAAGTGGCTGGATCTGAAGAGAGCACTAGCAAAGCCACATGTTCCAGCTGCTCTGGGTGGGTGCACTCCATTTCTCTTGAACTATTGAAAGAGGAAACCACTGCAAACTTAGTTATAAACTTCTGCCAGAAAAGAAAGAGCCGTGTGATCTGTGAACCAGGGTTCAAACATTGATCAGCACTGTCAAGACTAAAGGCCAGTCAAACGTTAGCTAGGAAAACCTACCCCAGGTACCTGCTATTATTGTGTCCTGCTGTTTGCTGCATTGGTTAGGGATTAAATCTTTTTAATCTATGTCAGTGTATTGGTGAACAGTCCAAGAGGCTTCTAGCTATGCCCCTTGCTCCATGTGTTGTGCTTGCTGGAGGAGACCAACCAGATGCTGTGCAAAGCCAGGGTTCTGCCAATGTGCAAGGAAACCCTGTGACAAAGCAGCCCAGTGCAATAGCACAGATTCAGAATTTTAATGTTTTGTGAGGGCAAATATGTTTCCTCTTTCATTCCCTGCCTGTCTCTTTTGAAAATGGTGGTGGTATTGGAACAGGAGAACTGACTTGAAAGTCCCAAATAGTATTGTGGAAGTGTTCAAGCATTAAAGGAGAGTTATCAGTATATACTAACATCAGTAACCAAAGATGGAAATAGTGCTTATTATGCTTCAAATAATCCTTGCAGATTTTACTAGTACTCAGAACTGAAGAGCAATAGATTAAGTGTAATATTTAGCCTAAAACAGTGCAGTATATGATCATTACTGATAGAATAAAGTAATACTAGGAAAATTAGAAAATACGAATAGCTATACAGACAGCATACCTCAGTGTAGTCTTATGAATAGAAAGCTAAATGACCAAGAAAAAATGAGCTGTTTTCATGAGCAAAAAGAAAACTAGTTTGTTGATGAACAATATAATTTTTGTTAATATTAAATTGAGATAAGGTGATAGATTTGACAGCTTAGTGATAATTTCATACTTGTCATTTAAACAGTAGAAGAGAAATCTGGTGCTACACATTGAACCTGCTTTCACCCAGATTCCCATCTGAAGACACTCAAACCCCTCCTTGAAATACAATCTCTAGGAGCGGATAAATTAGTTAAGGGGTGGTTTTGAGTTTTTGCCATAATAGTTTAATTCACACTAAGTGTTCTTAGAGAAGTTTTTCTGTAGCATTATTCCTTGACATAACTTTTATATATTTTTCTTTTTTTTTTTTTTTTAAATAATCCATCCACTTTCTAATAAAACTAGATCTAAAAAAGTCAGGTTCCATTCAAAATTGCTATACCTATGATATGTGATTCTCTCAGTTCTCAATTTGTTACTTCCTCTGCTCACTGAGGTCTGGTGTCCTCACTAGCTACCATGTGGCTTTTGCTGGTAGAAGAGTTTTTTTTCCTTTTGTAAGTTAGTCTTTACAACTCACTGCTTTGTTGATTTGTTGTCCTTTAAAATCTTGGTTAAAGTATCTACTTTTGTCTTGATGCCAGGTGGCCACCAAAGTAACTCTATCACTCCCCTCCTCAGCTGGGCAGGAGGGAGA